CCAACTACAAATCTTTCTTATCAGTTACTTAAAGCTAGTCAATGAAGACCCTCACTAGAAAATATTCTAGCCTAGCTGGGCGTGGTGGCTCCCACCTGTAATCCCAGCACTTTGGGAGACTGAGATGAGAGGACTGCCTGGGGTTCAAGACAAGGTGAAGGCGAGAGGATTGGCCTGGGCAACTTGGCAAGACCTCATCTCTACAATAAATAAATTTTAAAAAATTAGCTGGGCATAGTGGCACACACCTGTGGTTCCAGCTACTTGGAAGGCTAAGGTGGAAGGATCGCCGAAGCCCAGCAGGTCGAGGCTGCGGTGGCCGGGAGCGGCCACTGCACTCCAGTCTGGGCAACAATGAGACTCCAACTCAAAAAAAAAAAGAAAACCAGAAATAAACACATCCTTTAAGTCTGAAAGTTGTCTACCTTCATGTGCAATATTGTAGATTTCTTTACATTAAATTTCAGACAAAGAAATACAGAATTTCCCCTGTGGTCACTTTTCTGAGGCACAGTCAAAAGTGTTAGGTCATTACAAGAGGTACTAAAAATTACAATAATGCCAGAAAAATCTTTATTTTTCATGCATAACACAGAGTCTTTCAAAATCCTTTTTGTTTACAGAATACTCAAAATATCCTATTTTTGCATTTTTAATCAACTCCATTTTTAATCAACTCCAGCATTTAAGTAGATCTTAGAACAAGTCAGTTTCTATTTCAGAATGTCTCTGCAAATGTCCACTCCCTCTCACCATACCACCTTTTCCCCTAAGCAGACAGTCTCATGCCCTGGTTCATAGAGACAGGCAGTCACCACCATGTGGGGCCACCCCCAAGTTCCTGTCACCAGAATCAAAGGCCTCCCAGATCTAACACCAACTCCTCCTCCCTTCCTCAGCAGAAGAAGGGCCAGTCCTCCAACAAACCCCCAAGCCTGTCTCTTCACCTATCTCTGGAATCTCAGTGCACCAATTTTCTCCTTGACCCCACTTTTTCGATTCAGCCTTTCCCATAAGCATATAATCATGGTCTGGTGGCTCCTATCTTAGCAAACAAACAAACAAGCACACAAACAAATATCCAAACAATAAACCAGATACCTGGTAAAGGTGGTGCAATGAGTTTATGCTTTGATGTACTTCTTTTCTCTAAACTCACAGTCATGAGAGAGAAAACATTAAAATGGAAACTAGACTTAAAAAAAAACATTAAAATGGAAACTAGACTAAAAAAAAAAAAAAAAAAAGGAAATACCTC